TTTTCCTGAATTTTTTTTTTTGTAGCAACTATTGTCAGTTTACTTGGTTGAATCTGTCTTCATAATATATACTGCCAAGTCTTTGTCAGTACCACAATTATAAACAGAGAAATCTAACAAGAAGAAAAATATGCTGGATATATAATATCTTACCTATTAATTCATGTGTCAGACAATCTATACTAAGTGCAAAGCAAATTGGTTCTGAAATTTAAAGAAGATAACAACCTAAGTGAAAATGGCAAAGATGAAGATACTAACAGATAGATATTTTTAAATATAGAAAAGAAAGCAATTAGAGTTGATGCACTTTCTTTTTTTTTTTTTATAGTCGATATTTTTTATTTTGATATTGTGGGGTACAGTCAAGGGTTAGGTATACAAATATGCTTCATTCAGGCCCCCTTGTTGATAATTGGTGTCTCCCCGTCTCCAGACAGATGTTTACTACCATTAGTCCCATCTCCCCCCCATAGTTTCCCAACACTGTCAGTCATTTTCTTATAGTAGTGCACTGGATGATCAAGGTCCACTATATGAGTGAGAATATGTGGTACTCAGATCTTTGTTTCTGTGAGAGGTCACTTAGTTGATGCACTTTCTATGCATACTCTACAAGAATCTCTTACTGGCTCCAGGGTAACAATTTGAGTGAACGCATTTCAGGCCTTTGAAATGTCAGAGTCCAGAAACAAGGGCAAATTATGTTCCTAATAACCAGTGAGGGGGCTTGTAGGTATGGTCAGACACCTGAAAAAATAAATTATTGTTAACTGGGGTGGGGATGGAAAAAACTATGATTGTATGAGTACAGAGGAAACAGAAATATGGCTTTTTTTTTTTTTGAGTTGGAGTCTCACTCTTGTCGCCCAGGCTGGAGTGCAGTGGCACGCTCACAATCACCACAGCCTAGACCTGCTGGGCGATCCTTCTGCCTCAGCCTTCCAAGTAGCTGGAACTACAGGCACATGCCACCACACCCAGCTAGTTTTTGTGATTTATTGTAGAGACGAGGTCTCACCAAGTTGCCCCAGCTGGTTTCAAACCCTGGGCTCAGGCACTTCTCTCGCCTCGGCCTTTCAAAGTGCCAGGATTACAGGTTGAGCCACTGCGCCTGGCCATGGCTCATTTTAAGAAACAATTAAAATGAATCAAATAGAAAAGGCAAGGTACACTTAAAAGCAATGCACTGTGTTTTCTTCCAGCAAAGGCACTTAATATACATAAAATGTATACAAATGAAATATACCCTAAAATAGTGTCAAGGAGAATAAAGTTGAAAATAAACTAAAAACAACAAAACATACTTTCCTATTATATATTTTGGACAAGAGAAATACAGAGAAGTATGCTTGTATAAGACAATCACTGTACAGTGAACAGTGGCAAATTCTATTTTGCTAATGTCATTCAGTCTGATTTTGAGTGGGTAAAATAAATATCACACACAAAAAGAAGAAAGTAAACCCTGCATACAGATGAGAATTCTATAAAATAGCAAATATTCACTTCCAGTAAGTTTAAATATCCACTCCCAGAAGAATTACATCCTACTATAAGAAAACTTTCAAGTTTGTGTCACTGAAATGTCTAAGGTCACTAATGACTTTCATAATACCAATGCGATGCATGTTTTCAGCCCTCACTATTCTTGATGTTTCAGCAGAATCCAAGGCCGATAATTACTCCTTTCTCTTCTCATTCTTAGTTTCCATGATGTATACACCCACTGGTGTCTTCCAACCTTTCTGGCCACTCCTAGGTTTTCTTTGCTGATTCTCAGGCCTCTCAATCACCATTAAATGTTGGAATGTATCATCAGCATCAACAGTTTCAATATGAATGCATTCAAATGTGCATTCAAAACAAATGTAGTTGTCTCATTAGAGTTCTTAAAATTCTGTAATCTGGACATTTCCTTTGCCTCTCTGGTCCTATATATCCAATTAACTGATTGATGTATCTTTTTTTTTTTTTGAGTCAGAGTCTCACTCCTTCACCCCAGGATGGGGTACAGTGGCATGATCATGGCCACCGCACACTCAACCTCCTGGACTCAGGTGATCCTTCTGCCTCAGCCTTTCAGATAGCTGTAACTATAGGCATGTGACACCATACCAAGGTAATTTTTTTTTTTTTTTTTTGAGTTGGAGTCTCACTCTGTCGCCTAGACTGGAGTGCAGTGGCCGCTCCCAGCCACCGCAGCCTCGACCTGCTGGGCTCCGGCAATCCTTCCGCCTCAGCCTTGCGAGTAGCCGGAATTACAGGCGTGCGCTACCACGCCCGGCTGATTTTTTGATTTATTGTAGAGATGATGTCTCGCTGCCTAGGCGGGTCTCGAACCCGCAGGCTCAGGCAATCCACTCACCTCAGCCTCCCAAAGGCACGGGATGACAGGCTGAGCCACCAAGCCCGGCTAATTTTTTTTTTTATTATTTATTTAGAGGCGAGGTCTCGCCAGGTTGCCCAGGCTGGTCTCCAACCCCGGGCTAGGCAATCCTCTTGCCTCTGCCTCCCAAAGTGCTGACATTACAGGCGTGAGCCACGGTGCTCTGCCCCTAATTGATCTCTTGACTTGTCCTTCACAAAGGCATTTTAAACATCTCTGCATCTATATTTAGGATCTGCATCCCCATCCCCACCCCGAAAAAAGTGGACTTTTTCCTAGGTTCCTTCTATCCCTCAATAAAAATAGCTTTTCTCATCCAGATCTGGAAGCCAAAAGAACCCAGGATCTATTATTGACTCTACAGCCTCCCTCTCCCCACACCCAATCCATCACCAAATGCCTTCCAATGTTCTCTCAGATCCAACCCCTTCTGTCTATATGCTCCATCACTAACCGATTTAACAACTTCTTTCACTTGGATTACCGCTGAGGTCTCAACTTCTCTCCCCGGCCACTCCTATCCTCGTCCATACCATTATACGGCAGTCTTCAACCTTTTTGGCCTCAGGGGCCCAGTTTCGTGGAAGACAATTTTTCCACGGACCAAGAGAAGGAGGCATGGTTTGGAGATGATTCAAGCACATTACATGTATTGTGTACTTTATTTCTACTATTATTACATTGTAATATATAATGATATACATAGCATCACCACCTGAAATCATCAGGCATTCGATTCTCATAAGACATCATTTAAATTTAGAAGGGGATAAGGAGTTAGATAAGGATAAGAGGAGTGTGCAACCTAGATCCTGCATAGTTCACAATAGAGATCACACTCCCATGAGAATCTCAAGTCGCTGCGGATTTGACAGGAGGCGGAGCTGAAGCAGTGATACAGGGGATGAGGAGAAACTAAACACAGATGAACCTTAGCTTGCTTGACCACTACTTACCTCTTGCTGGGTGGCCTGGTTCCTAACAGGCGATGGACCAGTCCTGGTCTGCAGCCCCGGGGTTGGGGAATCCCTGCTCTATAACCTTATATCCAAAATCACCTTTTCAAACAGAAATTCAGTTTTATCACCACCACCCTTTTGTTACAACCCTTAATGACTTCCTACCGTTTCTCCTTAACCTAGACTTCTCCCTCTCATCCTCATCTCAAACACTTTCTCCCACTCTACTCTGGGAACTCTAGCACTTTTCAGCCCATGGTTTTTGTATACATGGTTCCCTCAAACTAGAATACAAGGGGTACCCCTCCCCCTCCAAAAAAAACCATAATTATTCTGGGGAAGGAAGGTCCTTTGCGGTACAGTCTTCCCCTGCTAGGTAAGTATTCTAATAACTCATTCGCATCGGTGTATCTGCTAGCATTGTGAGAGGTTGCGTTTGGCTTCGGTGAATTGTTTTTTGGAGATTCTCTCTACACACTTGCCCATTTCATGATGGGCCACGATGGCATGACCCTCCTCCCCATGCCCCCCCATCCCTAGTCTCCCAATCTCACCCCTGTGCCTTTTTTTTGTTACCACAGATGGAAAAAGTCCTCAGATAGAAGTGTTTTGCTGATGTGGAAGAGGTGAAACAAACAACAGCAGGAGCACTAAAAGGCATCAAAATTGACAAGTTCAATAACAGTTTTGAGCAGTGGAAAAAGTGTCTCAAAAGTATCAAATGGAGATTATTTTGAAGGTGACTGAAGTTTAAACATGCAGGAGTACACAATTTTTTATAATTAAATTCCAAGTTTTGGGGGGGGTCCCCCTTGTATTTTGCCCTCACTCCCACTTCATCTCCCTTCTCTTTATTAATTCTCTTTATTAATTCCCTTTATTAATTTCACAGCTCACCTTTTTGGAGAAGCTTTTCCAGATTTACATAGCAGCATGTACCTGTCTTTCATAGCACACCCAGACTTACAGGTGTAAGTAACTAATTCATACATGTCTTCGCCTTTAGACTATCAACTCCATGAGGTCAGGGACCAAACATGCTTCTATTCAGTATTCTGCATCTAAGATATAATATAATGCCTGGCAATCATTCGACACTCAAATTTTTATCAAATAAATAAATGAAGACTATTCTGATTTGAGAAATCTTAGTTGACAATGGAGAAAACAACATTTTTTTTCTGATGACTTGACTTATTCTGATACTAGGAATATAAACAGGCTGACACATCTATGTTACTAAGGAAGTACACATATACAAACACACAATCTTAGACAAGCATCATCACACAAATCTTGAATTTCAAACTTTTAGTGAACTATACTCTTCAATGGAAGTTCATTAGGACCCTCACTTAAGTGCCTGTCAGTACGATAACAACCTTTCTTACCATGTAATGTTTACTTTCAAGCAATTTGTCTCAATTTAGACTGACTCATTCTTTCTGTGTTCCAGTTTATATTACTGTTAAATCTATCATATTTGATACAAATTTTCATGAGTAGGCATTTTCTTTCACCTATGCCAGCTCTGGCATATCCCCCTTTCTTTTCTCTCTTCTTTCTCTAATAAACTTTGTTTGAAATCTTAAGAAAAAAATTCATGAGTAGAAAATTGTTGTAGACTAGATTTACAGAAAAGGATTTCCTACCAAAACCTCCAGCAATTCCATGACTTCTGTAAACAACATCCAAACCACCTCATTGTCTAATTCACTTCTCGACATGTCCACTCACCCAAGAAACAGATTTCTACTAGTTCTGTTTTATTTTCTCTTAATGATCTCTAACCTATCATTTACCATTTTCCCTTGGTCAGAGATTTCTCTAACCCTTTGAAAAGTTGTGATACTTCTGTTTCAACCAGAAATAATTTCCTAAAATCTTTGTACCAAAAAGAAATACTGCCCCAAGCCAGGGGAATTCAGTATGCATACACATGAATCACCTTTTCAAAAAAAAAAAAAGTCATAATGCATCTCATTTCACCAACACAAAGTTCCTTTTCCACACACATTTTCTTTGATAAGTAACTCTCACAACTGTAAAACAACACACTTACATGACAGCAATGATAAGTGTACTTTTCACATTTGTGGAAAAATAAGATCACAATATCCATGGCAAGATTAACTAAACCAGACCGATATCTAACCTTGAAAAACTAGAAATGACCACTATAAATGAGTGCTTTCCCTCATTTATTTTATCTAACTAGAAAGCATATAATAAGCCATCTATCAAGAAACAAAAGGTTATCTTGTGTACTTAGCTGGAGATGTATGCCAAAGGAAGGTGCTATTACAAATTAATAAAGTAAGAATGTACATAAGCCATGCCTGACTCACTCAACTTCCACTAACCTAAAAATACCTCTGAAATAATTGATATTCTGACCTGGAAAGTCACTTCAAACCCTAATAAAACAAAATGTTTGCCATTTCTTATATTAATGTCATTTATTGACACCCTAGAGTAGCTTTAAGGGAATGTTCTAGCACAAGGGTTGAGGATAGAAGAAGAAGAGAGTAAAACAATCAAGGAACCTGGTATGTGTACCTCCAAACAAACAGGCATTTAACTGTTCTAGTCACATGTTTATTTTAACATTAATATTTAGATTTTACTTGTGGTAGGCAGAATCCCCCCCCCATGTCTATGGCCTAATCCCTGGAATCTGTGAATATGTAAATTACGTGGCAAAGAGGGATTAGGGTTGCAGATGGAATTAAGGTTGATAAACAGCTGACAGGCATGGTGGGATTATCCTGGATTATGTGGGTATACGCACCATAATCATAAGTGTCCTTAAATGGGGGAGGGAGAGACAGAAAAAAAATGGCAATGTGGGGAGGCTTCAGCCTGATACTGTTGGCTTTAAAGGTATGAACCAAGGAAGCTTAGGTGACTTCTAGAAGCTGAAAAGGAAAGGAAATCGATCCTCCCCCAGAGCCTCTGAAAACTCCCTAATGGGTCTACTGAGACCCACCTGACTTCTGATCTCCAGAAATATAATAAACCTCTGTTGTCTTAAGCCACTAACTTTATGGCAATTTATTGCTGTAGTCATAGAAAACTAACATCATAAATACTTCACCACTAACAACAAAAATACTTCCTGTTATACCTAAACTTAATAATAAACTAACTATCTTATCTTACATCATTTAGTTGGAAGAGAACTCACGGTCTTCTTCAGACCTCATTAAAACAATTAAGTACTTCTCCTTGAGTCTGTTTCTTATTTTATTTTATTTTTTTCAAATATGACGGAGTTTGTTGGAATGTTCTAAGGTTTTAGACCTCTGAAGTTCTTTGTGTCTTTGTCTCTTGAATGCTAATTACAGTGTTGTTTAAGCTTTGACTTTTTCATTGAAATCATTTTGTTAACTTCTAATGAGGTTTTTTAACAAAAGTAGTCATGTTAAAATAAATCTGATGTAAGTTCACAAAATTATTCATAATAACCTAGTGCCTTTCACGTTAGGTCTCTAACAAAGTCTCTGCTTTACTGTGGCACTTATCTTTCGAAAAGACCAAGTTCAAGTAAGAGAATGCTTCAGTTAATACTTGCCTGAAGCTTTTTCTATCTTAGAAGAGGCAAGACCAAAAAAAAAATAAAAAATCAATATAGTGCAGAATTTTGCTTTTAAATAATTCTTAACATACAAACTTTACAGGTTCAATAAGGCATTATCTAGAAGACACAATGTATCTCATCTTTTAAATAGCAAGAAGCCTTTACTGTAAACTATTACAAGGTCTGGACATAGTGTTTAATATCCACAGCTATGAAAAAGAAAAAGGGGGGGGAAGCAAACAAACAAAAAAACAATTACAGTGCTCGTTTTCACTGCAGTCAACCACGTAGTAAATTTCTTTATTTAAAAAAAAAAGGCAAGCCAGGCTTGGTGGCTCAGCCTGTAATCCCGCGCCTTTGGGAGGCTGAGGTGAGTGGAATGCCTGAGCTCGCGGGTTCAAGACCCACCTGGGCAGCGAGACCTCATCTCTACAATAAATCGAAAAATCAGCCAGGCGTGGTAGCGCACGCCTGTTATTCCGGCTACTCCGAAGGCTGAAGTGGAAGGATCGCCAGAGCCCAGCTGGCAAGGCTGCGGTGGCTGGGAACAGCCACTGCACTCCCGTCTGGGCGACAGAGTGAGACTCCAACTCAAAAAAAAAAAAGGTGGAGGGTAGGGGAAAGAGACACCAAACTAAAAATAAACCAGATAAGGAAAGCTGAATCCACAGTACATTAGCAGCTAGGTTAAGTCTCCCACAAGTTGGAGAGTGAAAATAACCTTAGACTATATGATAATGTCTTCAGTAAATGCCACAGAAGGACATCATTCAAAAGTAAAGTCTGCAACAATGTTCTCTGGGCTTTCAACAGTTAGTATTCTTAGGAGTAACCGACAGTCAAGGCCAATAGTTGAAAACAGTCAGAGAATACATTGACGCAACATTTTCCCCACACAAGTGTCATAAATATGCTCCATGTAAAGATATTTTGCAGAATGTCCAGTTTTTTATATGAATTACAATGAGTTTTCTTTTTTAATTTTACTCAATAAAACAATTTTCCTCCACAAAATAAAATGTTTGCTTTTCAAGACATTTAGAAGTAGAAACTCAGGCGGAAAATGAATAGCAAAAAAATTTGGGCAAAAGATTCTAGATATTATGGAAGATGAGTAGAAAAGGCAGACAATCTTTTTTTTCCAATCGCTTTAGGAATACAAATGGTTTTAGTGACATGGACGCATTGCATGGCGGTAAAGAAGTCTGGGCTATAAGTGTACCAATGATGCCAGAAAGTTCTCAGGAAGAGTTTGGGGCAAGGTGCAAATGAAGCAACAGAGATGGACAGGGACTATATCATAGAGCAGAAAAGGTGAGGTCTTAAAGGGAAGCAGTGATAAATTGATGTAAAATGTGAATCAGAAATGCATTCACAAAACAACCAAAAAACAAAAAACAAAAAAACAAAAGCAGGTCAATCAATACAAAGAACGTGGCCTGGCTGTGAAATGGACCAAGCAAATAGACTCGCTGGTGAGGCATATTCCTTCTTACTTTTAATCACAAGTTAGAGATCCAACAGGTATTTGTGAGTGTGTGTGAGGTTCACACTGGACAGTGCCACACCACAGTTTGGGACTGGGTCTCAAACGGGTTGGAAATAGTTGTGCTGATTATGGCTTCTCTTCAGTGATGTTTAACCAAGCTAACGTATAATAAAAATACAGCAGAAGCAAATAAGTCTGTGTGCCGGCTTCTGAGAGGGAAATAAAAGGTAAAGGAAGAAAAGAAGACTAAAGAAAGGCAATTACAGAACACAAGGAGGGGAGGGGGGAGAAAAGTGAGGGGGAGGAAGCATGAAGGCGTTGGCTAAGGGAGGCAAGGCCAAGGCAGACAGTAACACAGCCACAACTTGCAATCTTCTCTCCAGAGAGAATCAAGCCAAGTGAAACCAGGTGATTCTGCTGAGCCGTTGCTCCTGATTCTGCTCTTCGTTAGTCCGGGTTTTTTCCCTTAGGAATCCTGTATCTTATCTGAATAGTCCCCAGAAACCTGATTTTGTAGCTTCTGTGTATTCACAAGGTTTGGTATGTCACAAATGGTGCGACACAGCACTAAACGCAGCAGGTGAAGGTGTGTGCACATGTGTGTTCCCTGTCATTTTTGGATTTTGTCCCTCCCTCTCCACCCCCAACTTAGTTTAGGGAACTCCATGAATTTGTTATCTTTTTATTTTATAGTAATTTAAAACTTACAGAAAAGTTGTAAGCATTACACAAAGAACTCTTGTGCATCTATCCTTCACCCAAATTCACCAATTTTCGCCATATTTGTTTTCTCCTTCTCTTTCCATGTATTTAGCATTTATTCTACATAATTCTGGATATTCATATTTTCCAAACAATTCGTTAGTAGGTTACATACAATATGCTCTTTACCCCTCAATAATTCAATATATATTTCCAAACCACAAGAATATTCTCTTACGTAAATGCAATACCGTTATCAAGTTATGAAAAATTAACATTGATACAACATGGTTATATTATCTAGAGTTTGGCAAACCTGTGGGCCAAATCTAGCCTGCCACCTGATTTTGTCAAAGCCTGTGGCAACAATGTGAAAAACAGCAGAGTCGAGTCCCTGTTTTAAGAGATGCAGTTAGGGCTTGCACACACTAAAATATTTATTACTTGGCCCACTGCAGAAAAATCTGCATTTCCTGATACAATTCACGGCCCATATTCAGTTGTCAATTGTCTTAATAATATCCTTTTTAACTATATTTTCCAGTCTAGGATTCAACCCAGAATCATGTGTTGCATTTAATTGCAACCCACATCACTAAACCACCTTTAATCCAAAACAGTTTCGAACCTTTTCTTCTCTTTTATGACATTGCCATCTTGAAGAACACGGGCTAGGCATTTTTTAGACTGTTCCTATATTTGGGTTTGTCTGGTGTTTCCTCATGACGAGATTCAGATAATGCATTCTTCATCAGAAAGCTATAAAAGTGATTTTGTGTTCTTCTTATGGAATCACACCCAGAAGCACATGATGTCTGTCTGGCTCTCTTCAGTGATGTTAATTTTGATGTCCAGTTTCTCCACTATACAGTTACTAGTTTTTGGCACTGCAATTAATTTTTTTTTAATCTACAGGGAGATGCTTTAAGACCATGTAAATATCCTGCTCTCCATCA